CTCGGAAGCATGTAATGTGACATTTTAAAAACAATGGATCGGGCATCTCTCATTGACTTTCATGATCGCGAGACTTATCCTCTCAGGACTTTTATTTTTCCTGGGCATATGAAATGTCTGGTGTACGATAGATCGTTGAACAATGAGAAGCATCTTGTTGCTTGCAGGTGCATAACTGACAGACACTCAGAATATTTCAAAACGTCCGTGATTCTATGTGCTTAGGATGTCAGGCTTATGTTGTAGTTGGTGGCCGAAACTTCGATCACCCTCCCTGACTTTTTTAATATCGCAGTTGCTACGTTTTGATGACAAAATAATGTTCTTCACATATATGGCATTCTTTCATTTCTCATATTCGTTGCACACTTGTACATAATCATAGCGTTTCGGACTCTGTATTGCTATCTAATCCTAATTCATCTCTGAGTAACCTACCCCTCCCAGAAGTTTGTGCAAGTGGTAGAGAATCATCCTTTATGGCTAGGTTTCATGCTGCATTGATCAAAAGAAAAGTAAAATTATATAACGTAAACATGTATTCAAAACTTTAGTACTGCCGAGTAGGTTTCAAAATGTCAGTCTTTAGTTTTCAGTTTATTAAAATTTTATATTAGAAACAATTACTTATTTTTCATTCAATTAATAAATCTTAATATCTACATTTTTTAGGCAAGCAATTAAACTTTCGTGTAAGCAACTATATTTGAATTACGGCGCCAGAATTGTAATATGAATTAATGAGTCGAATATATAGTTTAGACAATTTTGTTTTTTGTTTTTGAATAATACAGTATACTATTTTTATACAACTGCCAACTTGTCGGGTTTTTCTTGATCTGAATCTAGTAATTAGTCTAGTAACCTTAACAGGTATAAAACGAATTAACGCTATGTCTTTAATAACTATAAAGTATTTGAAAGGTGTTTTATTTAAACAGAATTTAGAATATAAATACATTTTCTTGTGCTAACAATGTCAGCCACAGCTTGTGATGATGTAACGTAATAAAGAGAACAGTTAAATTTAAGTTAAATATGTAACAATAGTCAATGATTACACAATTTAAATAATATTCGAAACTCAGTTTGGCAGATTCCTGATTTTTCATCTCATCTGCCCCATTTCCTTGTAAATTTCTCTTATCCTCGGCATTTTTAGTTTACGAGAAGTCAGATAATTTCATTAAATATAGATTTAAAGAACTATTGACTGCGAAGTTTAGAAAGAAAAGTACACGAAGAAAGGTTTGGTAACAGTTTCTTAAAAAATGCTATAACACTGACATTGTCATTGCTTAATGAATTTAAAATTGTTAAATTCCCGTCTTATTACCGAATGATTTTCAACAAGTGTTTCTGAGTAGTTATAATTTGATCTGATATGTTTTAATCCATTAGAGAAATTTGTAAAGCATTTATGAAGCCATAGCTAACGTTTAATAGGTAAATTTTGCATTTTCAGTTGGCTTTTAGTTTTAAATCCTACATTACCAAGTTTATCCAAACGATTACATGCAGATAATTATTAAGTTTTAGTTTCATTTTTCTTAAAAGCCTTTCTTTCTTACTTTTCATCAGTATAAAATTTTATGAAAACTGCAAAATCGAATGAGTTATTAGTTAAATTCCAGGTTTATGTACTTTGTCTAAGAATTGTATTATAAAAAGATTAATTATTAAAATTACGCAATATTAAAATAACTTTAAATCAAATTTGTCAATCTGAAATACTTTTGAAGTTGCATCGTAGCCAGGCGCAAAAAACTCCAAGTTTTCATAATTTAAAGTCGGTAGCTGTGCTTTATTTACTTTTATTTATTTTCACATCTTTTAATTCTTGAAAGTGATAAATAAAAAAGTTCTGTTTTCCAAAAAAGATTGCTGTAATAAAAGTGCTACAACTGTTAATTTGTGCATGAACTTTGAAAAGAAAATGTTTAATTTTTTGTACACCAATATAATAGTTAACGGAATTTTAATTGAGAAAGTTTTATTAAATCAAAAACACGCCATAGAGCTTAAATAATTCTAATTAGTAATGAGCTCAAGAATATTATTAGTGAATTTTAATTTTATTAAAATGTATACAAACACCTAAATGCCATTAAATAAACGGTATGTAAAATTTGTTGAGTGAAAAATATTTTGCATTCTGATACTTAAAAGTGATAAATAAAGAGTAAAGATCGAATGAGGTTAAAAGATTTGAATAAAAGTTTATGACGAAAAGGAGTCTACTCGAATTCCTGTTTACAATGGTATTAACATGCTGATAATTGTTCCAAAATTTTAATTCTAATATACGTAGATATATTCAAAGTGCCCAGCCTCAAAATATAAAAAACTGTAGTACTTGAAGGTATGTAGTACGAAAACTAAATAAATTTGAAAATTTTGTTTGAGAAATAGAAAGCGTGTTTTTTTAAAGAAATAGAAAGGTTTTTTTCCTCATTTACTGAATATAGAGATGTGCTAGTTAATATATATTGTTGATAATTGTTACTGAACATAGAGTGTGTTAAAAAATTTCGTATGGTCTAGATTTTGTAGAAGAGGATTCATGTGAAGATTGAATATCGGAGACATTAGTGTCTAAAATAAAAATTATTGCTCTTGTATAGTAGAGAATATTGAGTGATGGCAAATTAAAAGTTAAGAAAATAGCAGCAATATTGGATTTGCTTTAAAACTACTATTTTGCTCTATCTATGTGAATACTTTCACATGTACAAAGGCTCTGAAATATTAATACTCCGACTTTTTCAGCAATTCAGAGACATTAATGTGTAAATGCAATTTAAAAATATCAATATGTATATAAGGAGCTTGTCGTCTTTATAGTCCATATTTAGTTACAAGTGATTATTATCTGTTCTCTAATCTGAATTCTGAGATTTAGTAATATGACGGTGTGAAAAAAAAACAGCTATAAACATTTTGATGATAAATCTTCAGATTATTTTTTCTGGCCATAAAGTTGTTAATGAAACGATACGAAAAGTATATGCAGGTTTAAGGGATATCGTGTTGGAATATAAACTGTTAAAATTTGCTTTTGGAAACTTTTGTATTTATCTACTCAATTTAATGATACAGAAAACTCGAGGTGTTTTCTAATTTCGTTTTTCACTTTTCTTATTACCCGAATTAAAACTAATGATTACGTTACATATCATGATAAATTAAAATTCAAATTATTTCAAATTAAAATTTACTTTTTTGATAGCATTTTTACTCAAAAATATTATTTAAAAGTTTCTTTTCATCAAACAACTGCGTTTTGCTTTGCATAAATTTCAAAAGCGATAAAGCACATTTTTAGTATGTTTCTGCTAACGTCCTGAAGCTGAAAACTGGCGTAGGTTTTCTGCAGTTAAGTAGGCAAAATTAATTATTTTCTTTTAACCCTTAAAAACCTTCTGTGTCGAAACTCCGATTCGTAAAATTTGGATTAAGTGATCCTCAAAACTTTTCCCATTTGCAGTTTGACTATCATTTTAAATATTTTTTCTGTTTTAAATAAATTATAAAATTATAAATATGATTTTAAATTTTGGACAAAATTTGAAATCGAGAGTTTGATTTCTCGAGTTCTGCTAAAACTTTGTTTTCGATGTGCGAATTTTTCCCATTAATGCTAACAAATCATAGTTAATTTCTTCGTCTTCAAATGAGATTGAGAAGGTGTCACAAAAGTTAGAGGACTTTAAAGTATTATATACTTTCATGATATGTTTTGAGTTAAATTTATTGTAGAGGAATCAATAGCCCAAAATTTCATTAGTAACAGAAAAAGTGAATAAAGATATGTTTTCAAGATTAAAAGGAGATTAGAATGATAAGATCAAACTAAAGTAGAAAACCAATTATAGATTTTAAAAGCCAAAATTAATTGAAATGTTTAAAAGTACTGGATGCGAGATACTTTTAAAAACACTGAACAAAATATGTACTTAGTTTTGCTGCAGAGTCTTCAAATATTGAACCACACCAAAATGTGTTTGCTGATTTCATTTCCGGTTTCTAAATATCTCTATTAGGAATTGTTTCTTAAACATGGGCTTTCTGTATTTTGTTATTTTACTTGAGCGTAAGTTACCACAATTAGTAAAAGTTATCTCAAAATGTAATTCTAATCAGTTCGCATCATCCTCTCTACCTCTGGTACATCCTTTTCATAGTCCGATAGTAATAAAATATCATTTTGAAGTTCCATATTCCTTTATAAAGCATTCTCTTTGTACATATAGCTCTGATGGAAAGGTTTTATATGATTGACGCTTACGATCTGTAAGGCTGTCGAAAAATACAGGTTGCAAGTAAAGCAAATAAGCTTATCGAGATTTATCGAAATACATTACAATCCCAATACCTTGTAATTTTGCAGAAGCTCATAATTACATCAGTGTAAGTTTATGGCTTTTGGTTATTTAATAAATTTATTGCCATATTTCTAAGGGATTTTCATGGAAATAAAAATAACTTGTGAGGGAAAAATCATTCATTAATCCTATAATTTGAGGGCAAAATTTGAGTTAAAAATGATAAAATATGCACTAAACATTTGCTTCCATAACCCGTTTTTGGGAAAGAAATGAAACTCTCAATTTCCGTCCATTGCTTTTGCAATGTCTAAATTTCTGTCTATAACATCACAATGTGTTTCATCACAAAAAGTTTTTAAGTTTCGTTAATTGTTTTTGTTTTCACAGTGCTTTTCATTTATCTTCAAGAGACAAAGTAAAAAGCACACTTTCTAGCGACGTTCTAGAAATTCAGAAATTTTATTTTAAACCCTTGGAATTAGTGTTCCACTTTTAAGTAAGAATGTTTTAATACATTTCTTTTTTTCCGCTGCTCCTAGTACCATTTTATTTTGAAAAAAATTAAAAAAGGACGACATACAGTGGGTACTTAATCTCAGTGCAAGATTACTCAAAACATTTAGAACTATCTGAAAATTTAATTTAGTATAAAAATGAAAGTAGTAAACCTACCTTTTTCCTAGCTGGTCGGATTAAAGTTTAAGCTAGAATATTCGGTTGAAAGTCGAAATTTCAATTTCGAGGCCAAAATATCCCAACACCTTGGAAAAACCTATAAAATATAAACTAAATAGAATAAAATACTTGCAGTCTAATCTAGTCATACAGGTTTAGAAATATTATGAATTTAAAGAAAAAGAAAAGTGCAAATATGTCAATTCAGATTTTAAAAATTTCAGTTTCATTCATTGTAATGGAAGATTTCATTCCCTATTTTACTAGTGAGGAAGTCTGTATCACTTAATGTGGCAGTTAAAGTGCCTTCTGCTAAGTATGATACCAGAAATGTATTCAAACAGATAGCTGTTAAAAGTTAAATTTTGATTCCAGCTGAAAAGTTTTAATGCTTTTCGAGTGACAAGAGAACAATACCTTCTTTCTTTAGTTCAATCGCTTCGCTTTAACGTAATCGTTTGCAGCAATAAAAGAGAAAATAGAAAATTCAAATTTATAAAGTGGTGTTGATTCTATGCGGTGATAAAAGTGATAAGTACTATAAACTTTACTCTCTGAAAATCTGATAAATTGATAGGATCTTTAATGACTAACAGTTGACGTAACAGTTAATGTAATCAGTAAATTTCACTTCCTAAAATTGTAAGATTTTGATATATTCCAGTATTTGGCAGTTCATGCTGGCAGACAAATATGACATTTTTTGAAATTTCTGAAATGATTCTTTAAACCTTCAGGTTTAAATTTTGTAAAACCCATAATCTTTTGTGTTAATCACATTTAAAGTTATCAAAATATAGATAATAATTTAAATTCTAAACGAATGTTCCCAGAGTACTTCTGTAAAAAAAGTCACATTTGTTTTTACATGTGCTACTGAAATAAAATAAAGAACTGAAAAGATTAGGAAAAAGAATTCCATTAGAACTAAGTGTATCTCTTTCAATATTAATCCCATTCGTTACTTTTTTGTTTAAAAAAATCACTCTTACCTTTCTTTAGCTCTCTGTAGGAAACTTGAAATCTTTTAGCTGCTTAATTTAAAAATTCCTCAGAGCCATTACATTCACGAAGTCATAAAATGACAAATATTTTGTTCTTCTGTCTTCTTTAACGTTTAATAATACATTAGTAATTTACAAAGGCTTTAAAAACTGCAGATGAAGATTAATTTTTTTGGATGATTAAGATTCAGATTAGGTGGAATCTATAGGAAATAACAGCCTATGATGTAGTCATCTATATATTCTTATTAATTCAATAATTTTTCAAATTGTTGAAATAAAAAAAACTTCAAACAATCAAATTGAATTAACTTGAAACAGGAAACATGGTCAAACATCTTATTATTAATGTCTCGAGCAGTGTTAGAAATGTTCAGTTTTCAGTCTAGATTTTAAAGTTAATATGTCATATATTTATGATTAATTTCTTTTTTTTAACAATAAGAATATTAATTACTAACTTTAAGGTTATAATGAAATACTGAAACTTAGAACATTCTACATTATTATCAAAACTGGCAAAATTACAAAACGATCAATGAGAACTTCAAAACCATTGCCTTAGATTTGGGAACTACAGCAGCAAGTGTAAAACGTTAATGAAAAATTATGTTATTTACCTGATAAATCATCAGTTCCTTGGATATATATTAGAAGTATCTATTTATTGACTAAATTATCGAGTTGCCTCTTCATATGATATAATATCGCTGTCATTTTGAAAGGATTACCTGAAAGTACAGCGTCAGACTTAGAAACTGTTTGAATACATTTCTGTAAAGTTAATTGTAAAGTTAATGTTTATTGATTGGAAGAGATATCTAAACGTATAAATTATCGTGTTCAGAAAACCAAATTCAAACTACCGAAGATTTTGAGGTCAAACCTACATTAAATGTTCGAAAATTCTATTTACCGAAATTTTCATTTTAATGCTGAATTTATTTCTGTTACTATTATGACTATGTACAACTTTAGGTACTGAATTTGTAGAAGAAATGAAAAGAGAATTTTCCTAACAAGTCTAGCATCGCATTGAGCGGAGCCTTTCAAGGCACTACTTAATGGAACAGCTAGCAGGTCGAAAAATTAATTTGATATAGCTGTTTCTTTCAACGCTAATATTATATCAAAAAGCAACAGAGATGCCGTTTGTCAGAAATGCAAAAATGTCATCGTCCGACAGAGAAATGGGACACTATACAAGAAAAATCCTCTAGCATTATAATTCTTAAATTTAATACATATCAGGTGATTCAATCATTCGCAATGGCTAGTGCATTGCTGTTTTAGTTATATTTTAGATAATATGTCAATCGTAATCACTTATTATCAACATAATTGTTTGGAGGAATCTATATTATGCTTTAAGGTGGCATTAAATATTTTAAACAGAAATCATAAATGTTACCTAATATAAGGAACGGTTATCTTAGTCAAATCTTGGATGTAATTTTCAAGTTTCAAGAATACCTCTTGTATAAAAACCATCATATAATCATTTAGGTATTATTAGAGTAAATAAGTTTGGGTTGTAGCAAATTAAAAGTTTACGTTTACAATTATTTTATTTTAATAGGAATTTTGCTTTGTTTAATCTGGCAGTTTTGATCCAAGGACTGAACACGGATCTTTGTTTTTTTATAAGGATTCATTCTGCTACTTACAAAATAATGTAAAATTTAGCAGATCAATATAATAATTGAATTAAAACAAAATGAGATTCAGTTTTGTAAAAGTTACTTAATAATTTTATCAGGATCAATGTTCCTTCTAACCTTCTTCGGGAACATACAAGGACCTGACTCGGAAAGAGGCTTACAAGCTTCACTAATTGTAGTAATTAGCAGGATACAGACGAAGGGATACAAAACCTTTATTTTTCGATTACAATAACTTCCGATGCGGATACAATGACCCGCAATCGGGGTCTACGGAAAGTATAAAATAAAATAACTCTATTAATTAGAATAATACCTGGAAGATTGGCATTATAATAACAGAAGCGTATGTGCCAGGACTGTGAAACTCCATACGTTTAATTATAAGAGGAAAACTCTGGCCTGGAGGCAAACAGCAACGGCGTACTTCTAAGGTAAGCGGCCGCTTGACTCCTCTCCTCTCTTGGATTGGCAAAAAGGCCACATTAATACTGGCGTTCGCCAGACAAACTTGCATAAAAACCTTCACGCTTTAATTTGTCGAAGTAGAAAATAAGAAGTGATAGTAAAGATTTAAAATAAAATAAACGTTAGTAAAACTTAAGATCCTTACAATTTAAACAAAAAATTATTTTTTATTAATAGCCTGTCAATATGAAAATGTATTAACAATTTTAAATAGTTTAAATTTTCTGAAACATTGTCAGAACAATGTGAATAAAATTAAGTCTGAAACACACTTTTTACAAGACTTTTGTCTCAAGCTCTGCATGTGACTGAAGGCTAATGCAACACTCAAGTTTAATAATTACAAGTTCTTAGATTCATGTGTGCTGGTTTCGCGCTACCTATATAGAATTACTCGCAGGTATACTTTTTTGAGCAAAAATAACTGACATTTACTTCTTTAAAATGAAATTCATTTATTTTTCTTTTGATTTTAAATACACTATTTCAAATATCAACATGACTCAAGTATCAAAAACTATCTTCGAAGTTCCATTGAAATATATTAAAAAATTAACATATAAAGAGCATTATATTTTAATCCCTTTCTGTAAAAATGAATTTAATTATTATTAAAAATTTAGAAACCATTAACAATATAAATTTTTATAACGATAGTAACACCACTGAAGGAATTTTTTAGCTGAAGTTATTAAAGAAGAAGCCAACCAGCGGCCGAGGGCTAAAGTCGCTGAACACTGGTAGTTCGGGCCGAGGTTCGAATCCCGCGCACGGGTTGGCTGCATGTGTATTTTCGTGGTTTTCCTCATATGTAACGTGCATACGAGCCAGTTCCCTTAGGAAGTCCTCCACGAAGGCATCCATCCTCTTAGGCAGATAGGCCTTGAGACTTTGCCGTAATTAAATAACCTAACCTAATAAAGTAGAACTGTTATCTAGCGGACGAAAAGAAATTTACCATTTTTTTAAATTTTTAATTTCTTTCCAAGTATTAGAGTACTTATTTGATCAAGAAAATTCAGCAGCTTTAAAATAATCAGCTGAGCTTATTTATATTCATTTTACAAAACAAGTTCAAAATTTGAAGAAGTTGCTGAAAAAGCTCGGGTAATGCTGAATTATTATTATTATTATTATTTGTTTTTAGCACTTATATTTGTACTTTTTTAAATTTTTTGATATATTTGCATTCATATCCATAAATTATGTTTGTTTATCATCCGAAAATTATTTTTATAAATTTATCATTATTTTTATTACATTCCGGGGAAAAATAATGTCACTGAAAGGAAACCAATAACACACCGATCAGTTAGAGAAGAACTCAACAACTATTTTAAAGGTGTAAAGAATTTCTTACATCAGTATTAGGAGAAACGACAAAAACGTTATGCTATAAATTAAAAAAGGGCTGGTGATGAAATTCCATTTTGACATCGATGATACTTCATAAATTACCTTTAGCTCATTTATAATTTCACATTGTAATTTAAGCTATATTTCTCCCGCCCAAAGATTTGAATTTAACTCCAAATTTTACCTAGTTTAAAATACAGGAAGTTGTGGGCATAATCGTAAATTCTTGGCGATGGGATTTCACAGCCAACTTGGCGACAATTCAGACAGAGAGAAGAATTTTAACGGAGAAATATTTTCTTTTGAGAACAATTCCGAATTCAAAATTTTGAACTACATTTCTCGAATACATGAAAGATTAAGTCACATCTTTTAAGTAGAAGCCGTCTTCATCTACAGTTGAGAAAATGTATTGTATTGAAAGTTTGATATATGAGTGTATAATATATATATGTATATGTAAGTGTATGTATGTGTAAGAGTGTCTTGTAAGCGTTACAGTTGCTACTAGCGATTTCTGCGTGTTTTGTGCGTTTTCATTCTCATAGGCCTCCTAATATTAAAATGGTATTTGTAAGAGTATCAGAGTTGTTATTTTATTTACTTAATTAACTACAGAATTGCTTTCAATGAAAATCTATCTCCAATTTTTCAATGAAAATCTATCTAAATCTCTGAGCAATTTGTGCTACAAACTAACTTGAAAGGAATAGAAATTATACAGTTTATTTCAAAATTTATTTTTAGCTATCGAAGTATGATTTTACGTTTATGTAACACTTGTAAAATGTAATAGCAATGGCAGAAAGAAGACAGTGAAAGTTTCAAATGAAGAATGAAAAATGTAGTACTTAAAGTATAATGCGGCAACAAATTTTTATTAAAATATGAGTATTCGTGATGTAAATGAAATCAAAAATAATCGTTAAAATATGTACTCAGCCAAAACGAAATAACATAAACTATGAACAAAATAGTTCTAAACTGAAATATTAGCAAAGGAAACCGAAAAATGGATCTGTGAAACAGAAGATTCTCCGCTCTCCCTTTCTCCTTCCCTAAACCGACAAGTCAGGGAGAGGCCATCGCTTTTCATAGGAGAAGTGGGTCGAACGGAGATCCGTAATAAAAGCGTTTTCACTTGTGGTTCAGAGATGTTCCGAAAGCAGAAATATCGATTCTGAGAGTCGGAAGATTCCGGAGCATTCCCTCCGAACGGGAACGAGGAAATTTTCGACGCCATTTTTCGCCGATTCCCTCCACATCCGTGACAAGGCCACAAAACATCATTCATAACTGATGATGATATCACCATCTTGCGTTTATACCCAAATTAATCCCTTTTTCCTTCAGTAGAAAAGAAATAAAATTCCCTTAAAATGTTAACATATTTATAGCAAATTACATAATGTAAAATTTTAGATTCCAGTTTCTAATCGTATCAAAATAAACCAAAGCTTATGTGCATTAATTTAATAACGCATAAAGATAAAATTATGCAAAGGAAGAGTTCAGAGCATATATGTTTATTGATGCTCATTACATATTCATAAAAACAAAGAAAAGTATATAAACTGAACATTTTAGAAAGAATGTTTAATGCTTAACACCATTTTGAGATTTGCCTTTTTTCTTAAATAACATAGTTATACTAATATAAGCAGAGTAAGTATGTTTTAAACTTCACATTTTACATTTTAAAAGCCTTTATAGATACAAATATATTTAATAAAATTTATTTAGGTTCAATATGAGGTTCCTTAAACCTTTACTTCCCGTTTAATATTGTTCAGTGAGTACATAATATAATTACATCGTATGTTCAAAGATGAAAATTAAAATAAAACGGCTGAGAAAAAACAGAATGAAAGAAAAGAAATAATAATGACAAATATTAATAAAATATTAAAAATAGACCAGAAAAGGAAAAAATAGAGAAAATTCTCGCAAATGAAAAAAAAAAAAAAAAAAAAAAAAAAAAAAAAAAAAAATGAATGAAAGAAGTCCATATATTGGAACTCTAAAATCCTTAATTAGAGAAATTAAACTGCTAGAGATGATTCTTGACGAAAAATTGTTTTATTTTTCTTCTTTTAATATTGAAAATTCACCGAAAACGAGAATATTGAAATAAAAATGAAAAGTGGAGGAAAAGTTTATGAGTAGGAATGGCTTTTAGGACAAACTGGCACAAATAAACAAATAAAAAACCTTTTCTGATTTTAAGAAGGGATTTATAATGAGATGGGAGGTTAAAACTTACCTGTGCATCTCTGAAAACTTTCTTGTCTCTCCTTCGAGGATGGCTGGAACAAAATGCCGATGATGTCCATCAGACGTTTCGTTGCTCCGACAGCACCTTTGGAATTTTCCGACTCGGGTAGCTTCGGAATTCCTGGGGTCGGCAGAAAAAAAGAATTCCGACATCCCGGAAGACTTCCTGGCCGCCATCTTGGACGCCGGGTTTCTAATTCCGGCAGGATCTCTGGACAAGAAAATATGTGGAATCCGCCCTTGTACTTTTCAGATCTGCTAGCAGGGCCTTGAAGAAAAGGGCCCGGGATGGGTCCTTCAGCGGGGACCCTGTCTGTAAAGAATCTTGGCGTGACGGAGCAAGAAGAGCGGAAAGGAAGAGTCCGGCATCGCAGTTACCGCATCCCTGACATACGCATGCGCGGATCTCCTGCAGTCGAAGGGACGATCGATGACCTCATCCTCTTGCTCCTCCCTTTAATGACCAAACTCCCCTCCTAAAAATGCGCTCGTCCGTCAACCTGTTGGGCCCACAGCCCGCGCGCCCCCTCTTGCCCCATCCGCCTTGGCACCGCCCCAGATGTAATGGGGAAATTTTCCAGAAATGGGGGTAAGTGGAAGGACTTTCACGGTGTGGGTGGAACACATCCGTAGCACAGCTATCATATAGCCCAAACAAGACGGATGATCTGGGCTTTAATTCCAAATTCTATTCATTATCTATTAACATACCTGCCTTTTCCGTAAATGGCAAATGGCTAAACATAGGTTTAATATTTGCTTAAACTGTTCCATGGCTTCACATTAACAGCAGTTAAAAGCTCAGAGCTCTTCTGAAATAGAAATGAAGGTCTATGTTGCTCTTAAAAATGAGACCACATTTTTTCTCTCAAAATATATCGAGATTTAGATTATTATTTGCTACAAATAACGGTAACAATCGAATTATTACTAGTTACTAAATTTCAAGTTGTAGTTTACACAGGACCGTTCTTGGGCCATTGGCTGCCCGTGTACTTTCCTAAAATTACCGCTCCCAAATTTTCAAAAAAGGCTCATTGATTAATAAAATTTTTATTTTATACTCACTAAGTACTTACATATGACAAACTGTATAAAATTTGCTTACATACGACAAGCACTTACAATTAGTTAAAAATGTTTAGGCGTCGTATGGCGAAAGTCTGGCCGCCCCTGGTTTTCGCTGCCAGCGTAATTTTACTCGCTGCACATCCGCTAGGAACGGCCCTGAGTTTACACATTTGACAGTGGTTACTCCAAAAATAAATTATATAACTAATATTACCTATAAACTGTCTCTTTCTTTTAACAATGAAAATCTTTTGACCAGATAGCCTATGTTAATTTCGAAAGTTCAGACTTTCTTTGAAATCTTGTTTTTGTAATTACTAATTTAAAATAACTAAATGCAATATTATGCATATAAAATTTGTTGACCGTACCTCAAATATACCATTTCTTCCGCAGAAGAATGTTGACGAGGTTCTATTTTCATATTTGCCTTTTTTTCAATTTTCAAATTATTTTCCCTCAAAGCATGCAAAGTCCGGCAACATTTACCATTAAAAATGATTATCTTCTGATTTATTAGTATAATTGTTCTTTGAGATGTAATTACTGAAAATTATAATTTCCAGACAATGCTGGCTTATAGTAGTAAACAGAGATGCGTCCTGTCGGGGACCTTTAATACAAACGGTGTTGAAGCGAGGAGTCGAAAATTAACTAGAGATGTTGGTGTTATTGCACTTGATTCCTTTCTTAAACCAAAGCCATGGGTGTAAAACCATTTATTTAAGATATATTTAGCAATGCATTTGTTCGGAAAACATTCTGCGCAGGCTGTTTGCTGTATTAGAATATGCAATGAATTATTAGTTTTCTAAAGAATATTGCCGAAGAAGACTAAAACACAGTATGAATATTGTTAAGAAATTAGGCTTTCCTAAAATCATGAGATGACTGCAATCTTGTTATCAGGAAGAAGAAAGTTTAGTAATTTTAATTTAGGTATTCGCGATTTTAAATATAAATAGAAATTTTATCTGTAATAGTCTGAATAATTTGTTCATATGCAAGATATCTATAACACACCAAAAATGTACAGTTGTTCTGAATACCAACTAACAGAAGAAATTTTATCATTATATTAATATTATTCTGAATGTGCTATGGAATAGAGCCCTCTGTCGGCGAAGAGTTGAACTAAATATTAATTTTCTCCCCAAAATAATTCTCCTTTAGAATCAGTTTCGTTAAATTTGCACTTAATTATAACCATTTGTACGCTTATTATAAATTCTCAAAATCTTTATGAAATTTTGGAACCCTTATGCATCTTCAATAAATATTTTTGATTGCACGATGTTTCAAAAGTCTAACTTTTGCTGCGAGGTAATGCAATAATTAGCATAAAAAACAAGAAACTGCAAAACGTTTCGTGAATTTAGACTGAAAGGTATAGAATTTAGGGAAAAGAACTATAACAAATCTGCACACCTAAATCATAGTTTAAAAAACATTTTCTGAACTTTGAAAAAAAATATTTCGAATTTTAGAAAATTGAGGCAAAGACTGCCTTTGATATTTTAAAAACATTTTGTATTTAAAAAGATATTAGCAATCTTTAAATTTATTTGAATTAGATGTGCTATTTTAAAAAAATAATTTTCAATAAATTTGACACTTTTTTCCTATTTTAAACAGAAAGTGTAACAGTTTGTGGGCAATATAACTTCTTTTTATAGGATGCTTTAGTGTCACTGCTCATTTAGTTATTATTAATTTATTTTCAATAACTAAAACTGACATTTATAACTAAAATAATGTTTTAACAACATCTGTTAGCTCAAACGGGTAAATATAATGCAAGCATCTTTGCTTAATTGAGATGGATGTTTCATTAATAAGAACTGCGTTAGATAATATATATTATTAATAAAATTATTTACCTCACTTACTTTATTTCCTGACATTGTAAGACAGAGAAAGATGTAGGTTACCAAGCTATCCATCTTGTGTTCTCTTTCTTAGAAAATACAGTGAAAGTTTCCATCTGGCGTTTTCCACCAGAACGTTTAGGTACAAATTTTGGTATGCTTCAATTTTTTCTTCATAAAGCCGTTACTTGTCTTTTATAAGAAATGAAACAGATAGAATTGCATTTATTCTTAGAAACAAATTTTAAATTAAAAAAATTACTTCATTTTATTTATTTATTTTTGCTTTCAATTTTGGCGTTATTATAGATATTTATGTTATTAAAACGATTTACGGCGAAGGATTACGCCCACCTGACTGCAGGGAAAAAATGAACTGAAATTATATTTAAGATCTAGCGCGATAAACAGAGCATTTTATATTTGGGAGACGAGGTAGTAATCATACATACATTCTCCACTACGAGGCAAAATTAAAAAAAAAAAAAAAAAAGATTTCATATAAAAGAAAGCCTTATTATTTTTTTCAAACTTAATTTTTTTAGCAATTTAATTGATAACAGCATTTTTAAAGTTTTTTCGAGTAAGAAATATTTAAACAAACTTAGCACTCTAGCGATAGTGGAAATCAAGGGCGAGCTTCAAGGGGCTACATGAACATTCACTCAAACTGATTTGCTAAAAATATTCGTTATTTTCTATTATTCAATGAACTTGAGCAGCACCAGTGAATTTAAAATGTTGTATAATATTTGAACTGCGCGAAACCTTGCTTAGATACCAAGAGTAGTAATACAGGATAAAGTGATCCATTTAGAATTTAATAGTTTCATCCTTAACAAATTTCGTGTCTTCTGTACTAAAAAGGTATGACTAGAAGATAATTACAGAAATTTTAACGAGTTTTAAATCCTCATTAGAGTATGGAGTGTATTCAATTTATCACAGAAATTATAAATTTCTCGAATTAAAATCAATAAGATTCGTGCGACGCTGTAATAGAACTTCTAATGTTTGAGTATAAGCATGTTTCAAGCCTGTCCCGTCGAATATTTTAACTTAATTATTGTCATCATTTAAGTATAAGGAATATGACCAGTTTTATTATTTCAAAAACTCTATGTTAAGGACTTTTTTATAATGTTTATAGTTATATTCTTTGCAAGTTAAAAGTTTTTTAAGTTATGAATCGATATATGTAACCAATTAAGTCATTCTTATGGTTTATAAATCTTTAAGCATCCGAGGCCATAAATTTTAGTTTAAAAATCGATATCCAACTAAACTAATTAGTTTATTGTTTCTAATGTCGAAGCTGTTAATTTTAGTTACAAATCCATATTAGTAATATATAGGATACTTTATGAAAAAGAGGAATATGTAAATTTTATTAAAGATATTATTTAAAACATTAATAATGTAAAACATATTTGCAAACACATATGTATTTAAACAGCATAAACAAGAAAAGACTTAGCATAAATATAAAAAATAAAATACGCATAATTTTAGTAGTTTTAAAAACGTTTCCGCCATGTTATTTTACAGCAAGGAAAGCAATCTTACGTTAAAATCGAAATGTTATCTACGTCAGAAGGAAATTCATCTACCATGTATAAAGGAATGAATAAGATACTGGTTTATTCTTAATAATTATTAGATATATAACTCTGTATTGAATCACAGCATTGGTAAGTAATTAATCATATCAATACATCGTGAAAGAATTAACATTAATTTTGTAAATTTTGTAAAATTTTACCTGGAATAAATTTGAAGACAGATGTATAATCAGACAGACGTAATTTAGTAATTACTAAATAACACAATCAGATGATATTATTAGCAAACATTGCAAGTATTATTTGAACTAGTGAACTGGAAACGCGTATTAAGGTATCCGAAGAACTCTAAAGTAATTTTTTAAAGATTTATTCAAGATAAAAATAAGGAAAAAGGTACATGAAACCAAATGAAAGATAATAAACTAAAGATTTTATTAATAAAATAATAGAAAACTAAAAGAAATCTATTGGAATGGATATCACTGTGTCAAAATTACCTTCTTGCGTCTTAGCATAGTTAGTAATTTCAAGTTGCTGTCATGAGTATCAAATACATTATAGATACTAATTGCAACTATATTATTTGAAATTTTGGGGATATTAGTTCACTATTTATGAAATTTCAGATGTTAGAATGGTTAAGGTATTAATTATTAAGGCACAATTAGACATGATTCAACATCTGTGCATATGTTTTTGAAATATTAAGTATTTTGTGATGCGATTGAGCTAATTTATATAAAATTGTGATTTAAAATTCTTTCGAGTTTACTGAGAGCAGAATCGAAAACACTTTTCAAATTTTTACTTAACGAAGAACAGTTAGACTCTAATATTTGTACAGAAAAAATAAAATGCGAACCCAGGAAATTTATCATATTGACTGAAGAC